CCACGAGTCTGCGGAGCCCCTCCGGGCCAGCCCGCTGCGCTCTGCCTCTCTGGGCAAAACGCGGGGCGCTGTGGAACGCGGCGTGTTAGCTGGGGATTTGCCTTTGAAGGATATATTCACGAACAGGAGCCTGCCTTATTTTTGTAGGGCCAAGTCTAATAGTGGTTTTTTGCCACGCGTCTGCTTGATTGAGATGCTCTTCGGTAAGTCCAGAGCATGCTGGTGAAAAGCATCAGGCAGGTGTATTGTTCCTGCTCGAAAGGGCTTTATGTTAACTTTGCGATCGGTACATTAGGTATGTGGCTTAGGCACTAAATAGCGGGAGCTTCCACGTGAATTGTGGGGCTGGTGTGGTTATTCCTGTCACGCAGCATGAGCAGTAATGCAATTTCATCCTTAAGCCCTGAAGTTTGGGTTTGGAGGAAGAGCACATCTCTGGACTTCTCTGTGCAGCCGATACTTGACTTGTGAGTTTTGCTTCAGGCTCTTGTTAAGAAGCTGACTAAGAGTTTAGGAAAGCAGTATTTGGGGGGTGTTTAGGGAGGTAACAGCAAGCTTGCATTTGTAGACATTGAAATAGTTACTAAAAGGAGTACGATTTCAATGGGAGTCTTGATCCAGAAAGGTTAGTACGTGCTAGTGATGTGGGAATAGGTCAGAACACGAGAGGTGGTTACTGCCGGCCTAGCTGTCTGTCAGGCTGGGGTGTATCTTTTTAGGGGAAGAGTCCAAAGCAGACACTTGTTCTTTAAGGTGCTCTGTAGAAAGGCAAAACTTGGTGGCAGCTGTTGGCCTTTAAATAGCGGGGAAGCATGGATCCAATATGCAACCTATTGAATGCCAGCCTTTCTCATCTAGCCAGTTCCCAGTTCAGGTAATTGGATGATTATCCTGTTTCTGTGCAGGATTAATGATAAACTGTGGGTGTGGGTGAGTCTTGCACAAAATCCCAAGTGCTGCCAGCTGCAGGCAGGCTTTTTACGAGTGCTCAGCAGAATGAGCAGAGCTTTCAAATCTAGTACACTGATCTCTTTTGTTATATTCTCTCTCCCCTGTCCTGATGAAGAGGGGAGTATTAGAGCAGTTTGGTGGCACCTGGCATCCAGCCAAGGTCACCCCACCGCGGGCTGGAGACCCGCATGCCTATGGCGTCACTGGGGCAGGAGTGGATGGCCCTGGGATGGGCTGAAACGAGCATCCTGGCCTGTGGGCAAGGTCAGGTGTGGCCCTGGGCCAGGCCGGGCAGGGACAGTAAGGCCTGTTGGTGTTCTCACAGCCCTGACAGTGTCTTGCATTATCATTTCTGTTTCAGTGGAAATAACTGCTAGTTTCTGGTTTGAGTTAAAACATCAAAGCCTGAAAAGGTACAAAACTAACAACTGTTAGAAAATTCTCCTGAATGGCAACCTACAATGCTCTGTGTGTTTTAGAGTCTATATCTTCCCATGAGTCAGAGTTCAGAAAAAATACTACTTTTTTTTTTTTTTTTTTTTGGGGGGGGGGGAGATTACCAAATATTCAGGTTATGGGATGATCTTTAATAAAAGAAGTACTTGGGTAAAGCAAAAGAAAGCTATAATGCATGTTCCACAGAGAGAATTTGGTGTTGCCTAGTAAGTTGTTCTCCGTTCCCACTGATTTCTGATTTAGATGGGATTCAAAAGAGTAGTCTTGTTTTCTTTGATGTAGCTAACATATATGGGGCAAAGGGTTGAGGGAAAAGTACATTATTTGCCAAGATCCAGTACAGGTAATGTTAAAACAGTAGCAGTTTCTCTAATTAAGAAAGGCAATTAGTTACTGAGCTTTCTTTTCAGAGGCTTATAAGAACATGGCAAAACAGTTTTCTCCCTTTGCATCTCACATATAAGTAATAAGCCATATATTATACAATATATCTTAGAAGAAATTTCCAGTTAGCAAGAAGTTTAATGGATTACTTTGACATCAGTGTTTTGCTTATGTTTTGCTGAATATAAGACCATAAGGAATTGGGAAGGATTTTTTTTCCTGCTTACCCTCCTCCCCAAAATTTCTTGTAATCGGGAGGCTATATAATAGTTTTAATAACTTTTATTTGTGTTTGTCTTCTGTAGAGCCATAAGAATTACTTAGAACCAGCTGGAGTAATACCCTAAAGGGGGCCTATAGGAAAGATGGGGAAAATCTTTTTAGTAGGGCCAGCTGTGACAGGACAAGGGGTAATGGTTTTAAACTAAACCAGGGTAGGTTTAGACTAGATATAAGGAAGAAATTCTTTACAATGAGGGTGGTGAAACACTGGAACAGGTTGCCCAGAGAGGTAGTGGAGGCCCCATCCCTGTAGGCATTCAAGACCAGGTTGGACGGGGCTCTGAGCAACCTGATCTAGTTAGCGGTGTCCCTGCTGACTGCAGGGGGGTTGGACCAGATGACCTCTAGGGGTCCCTTCCAACCCAAAACATTCTGTGATTCTGTGATTCTTTCATACAGGACATCATGGCAGCCCATCAGGAGAAAAAACCTTCTGAAGAAAGAAAACACAAAAGCACCCAAAATGATACTCAAACATCTCAAGTCCAGTGGGGAAGAGCATGGTGAGAGAAGCTGATGACCCTAATTAGTCATTGTATTTCAAACTGGTTCATACTTACTCTTATAGAGGCTACATTCCTTTCAAACTTCATTCTATTAGCAACAGATTGTTGCATTGCCCTTCTCTTGAAAGCTCATGGATAATAAGCTGCAGTAACAGATTCTGAAGCAGAGTTCTTCAGGACTTTTAAGACAGAGAGCTTGCCATGTGGCTTGGGTTAAAATGCCGTCCTCTTTGCAAAAAAGCAAAGCAAATCATAAAAATCAGTAAAATTGTAGTTCCTTCAAGGGCTGAACAAAATATTTCCTGAGACTTGGAAAATGGGCATCCATCTGTGGTTTTGCCAGCTGACATCTGCTGCTGCAGAAAGACTTATGACTCGTATCCTTCTTATGAAAGAGTCGCGCAAGTGTTAGCGGAGTATTGTATCGAAGCTGGAAACAGCCATGGGTGTTTATATGGCTTGCCACTACAGACACAGTGTGGTAGAGCAAGTTCAGCTAATAGCTGGTTGAACCAAGGTCTGTCTTTTCTGTTTCCATGCTTTGCATAACAATCTTGTGGTTTTGTTACCACTTCCAACTGAATACCAGTTATATCCATGTTTGCCATCAAAAACATGAAGGCTGTAATAATAATCTGCTTTTTGGAGGGGAGATATTATCTATTCTGTTGCTCTGGTCAACTGGCATAGCTTTATAACAGTTTGTGGTGAAGTATGTAACATGCTAAGTTTTGTATAGCTCTTTGACCCGAATAAATATATGTGCCCTGAAAACATTTTCAGTTTTCATCTGGTTGGTCTAGAAGGTCCACTGAAAAAATTGCCTGACATAATCAAGCCACTGTTCTTACTGAAAGCTGGGGGGAAAAAAAAAAAAAAGTAAAAAAAGTTCTGTTTTGGATTACAGGGAGGTGGACTGGTTTTCCTTGGCAAGCATCCTCTTCCTGCTCTTGTTTGCACCACTTATCGTGTATTACTTTATAATGTCCTGTGACCAGTACCAGTGCTCTCTGACCGATCCACTCATTGACTTGCTCACGGGGAAGAAACGTCTGTCTGACATCTGGAACAAGACTCCTACACTGACCTATAAGGCTGCTAGCATCTATACCCTTTGGGTCACTTTCCAGGTACGTTACTGAGTTACGACGTAGTGGCTGTTTTTTTCCAGCACCCATTTTGCTACTCCTTTGACATGAAGGGTAGTGGAATTTCAGACTGGCATTTACTCTTTGGTGTTTCTTGCTTTCCACGGCTTTTTGGAATCGAAATGGAGCTTATGCACTTGAAAAATAAATACATAGGGAATATACACAAATGTTCCTTCTGTGATATTCCTTGTTTGTGACATATTACTTGATGTGGTTTTTAAGAAAAAGCAACTATATAACAACAATACCCATTTGTTTTAAATTAATACACAATAAATATATCATAGACTAACACTGCAGAAGGGGTGATATTTTCTGTAGACAGACAGTAAAAGAACATTGATGTATGAAGTATAACTTAGGTTTGTAAAATATCTTCAAACTTACCAACTACTCAATTTTTTTCCAAATTGGAAGATAACTTACACGTAACGCAGATAAGCTTCAAAATGAAAGGATAAGGACCTGAATCTAGTCACCAACTGTCAAAAAAAAAAAAAAAAAAAAAAAAAAAAAAAAAAAAAAAGTATGACAACCATACATGAAGTACGTCTTTAGAATTGTATAATAGCTTGGACGTATTACTAGTCTAAAATCACAACAGCCAGATCTTGATGTACTTGCTTATCCAACACTTAGTTGAAACTGCTGTATATTATATTTGCTATGTGTATGACAGGGATAGTGGTTTTGGGGGTTTTGTCTTGTCTGGCTTTGCTGTTAATACACCCTCTCTCTCCTAGGTGTTTTTGTATGTGTTCATTCCCGACTTCTGCCATAAATTTCTTCCTGGATATGTAGGAGGTGTACAAGCAGGTGCTGTCACCCCTGCTGGTAAGTTCTTCCTGAGAATATACACACACTGTACAACCTTTTTAAATGATAGTATTTCTGTACTTACAGTCATTAATAACCTATATGTATCTGGAGGAAATGTGGACATAAATGCTTTCACCTTCCCTGTTCATTTACTTCAAACAAAAATAACAGCAATCTACATCATCTTTTAGAATAAACGATAGAATTTCTGCCTCTTACTGTCAGTAAAACTATTGATATGGCAGGCATCACACTGGCAATGGAAAAATACAGATTGATAATTTTGATGCTTAAAATTAACAGTGGACCATTGCTAGTATTTGTCCATGCAGTTGTACCTGCTGAAGCTATGTTAACGCACAAGACTTGAACAAAATGCGTGATGTGAACGAAGTGTGACAAAGGGTAACTTGTTACCTTAGTCAGTTTTAGGGGAGACTCCAAATTCACTGTCTTGGAAGTCAGAGCGAAGAGAACAACTCAGCCTAACAAAGCCTGATGATTACAGCGGAGTCTAATGGAACTTTCAGAAAAGTGCCATGAGATATTTAATTGAGAGGGTGAGGAGAGTGAGGTCATTTCACGAGCACTTGATTGAGCATCTATATATCGTATACATCTCCGTATTAATAAAAAGCTGTACTAATGCAATGTCAGTAACATTCAATTTTTTCTCCATATTTTAGGTGTAGTGAATAAGTATGAAATCAATGGACTTCAGGCTTGGATCATTACCCATGTGCTTTGGTTTGCAAACGCCTATTACTTCCGCTGGTTCTCACCCACCATCATTTTTGACAACTGGATTCCTCTCCTGTGGTGTGCCAATGTCCTGGGATATGCAGTTTCCACATTTGCAATGATTAAAAGCTACTTCTTCCCCACCAATGCCAAAGACTGGTACGTGGTTTTTAATAATGAGAGAGTACTAGGTAATCAGACATACAAATTGAACGCTGCACAGAATAATAATGACAGAATATATTTTACTGGCACAGATAGATAGGCTGATGGATGACTGTGGTTCTTTGCATCATTAGCACCATCCTCTGTTTCATGTGACTGGCAGCCTCAGTGTCACAATACTTATTTGTCACAAATAGGACAGATGTAAGGTTATAGTTAGACTGGTCAAAAGTGTTACCACAAATAAACTAGGGTACCTCATTTGTCTCTACCTATGTAAGGCTTTAGTTGGATCAATTTGTGTTGTCTTGCGCATCATTATATAGTTCTACAATTTTCATTATCGTTACATCAAGCGAATTTGAAACGTGTAGTCAGAATTACCTATATTTGTGTATAACTGCGTATGTTTCTGTTTTTTATGCTTTCTAGCAAATTCACTGGCAACTTCTTCTATGATTACATGATGGGGATTGAATTTAACCCTCGAATAGGAAAGTGGTTTGATTTCAAGCTATTCTTCAATGGGCGCCCTGGTATTGTAGCCTGGACTTTAATTAACCTTTCCTATGCTGCTAAACAACAGGAGCTGTATGGTCAAGTAACCAACTCCATGGTCCTTGTTAATGTCCTTCAGGTAAATTCAGAGAGGGATTGGGTGAGAGAATGAGGGCAGGTGAGTAGGCAAGGCCCCGATGGCGAGGCTGCAAGGGCGTGAGCGAGAAGGGGAGAGGGCACAGTCAAGAGGGCCAAACCCCTGCTCCAGCCCTGGCCCTGGCCTCTGCCTTGGCCCCAAACTTGGCCCTCCCTCGACTGTGGCCCTGGCCTCTGCCTTGACCCCAGCCATGCTTCAGCCCTAGGATCGACCCCAACTTAGGCTCTGCCTTGGCCCTGGTCTTGGCTCTGGCCCTGGCCCCAGCTTTGGCCTCAGCCTTGGATATGGCCCTGGCCACAGCCCTAGCCCTAGCCTTGACCCCAGCCCCATCCACAGCCTCAACCTCGGCTCTAGCCCTGGTGTCAGCCCTGGCCCTGGCCCCAGCCTCAGCCCAGGCCTTGACCCTGGCCCTAGCCCTGATCTCAGCCTTGCCTCTGCCCTGGCCCCGTCCTCTGCCCCAGACCTAGCCCCAGCCTCTGCCCCGGCCCTGGCTGTGTGTGCAAGCGAGCAGGTGAGAGCAAGAGAGTGTGGGTGGGCATGGGAAAGAGCAAGAGAGCGTGGGTGTAAGAGCATGGGTGTGTGTGCAAGGGCAAGAGCGTGCGAGTCCATGTGAGAGTGCAAGCGAGCATGTGAGCATGCGTGTCAAAGTTGGAGTGTGTGAGAGCACTGGGGCAGGTGAGAACAAAAAAGTGTGGGCATGTGCAGGCAAGAGCGAGAGAGCACAGGCGGGTGCAAGAGGGTGTGGGTGTGAGTGAGCACAAGAAAGCAAGAGCAAGTGAGAGGAGGTGAGTAAGAGCAAGTGGGCAAGTGAGCGTGAGAAAGTGCGAGTGGGCGGGTGAGAGAGAAGAAAGCATGGGCGGAGAAGCGAGGCGTGAGTGTACATGGGTGTGGGCATGCATGCTTGCGAGAAAGTGTGAGTGCACATGCGAGAGCGTGGGCGAGCGTGAGTGTCAGTCTGAGAGTAAGCATGTGAGAGCACGTGTGGAGAGCGTGAGCGGGCATCTTCCCCCTCCTGTAAGCCTAAGACTTTTTAAGCTGAAGAGACTTAGGGGTGGTCAAACGTGAGTACATTCCCTAAGTGTGCATCCTTACACTTCCCTTGGTTATCTTGCTTTGCTATAGCTTTGCTATAGCTTACTTGTTATTACTTTAACCATATAGATGCAGTATATTTGTGTGATATGTTCCTCGTAATACCCTGGTTTTGAGGTGTTAAAACTACCAGTCAGTTTTGAGATCTTTTCACAAGAAACGATTAGGCTGATGAATCGGGATAACTGGTTACGGTGAAACTATTCTGTTTCAGGGTATTTATGTTTTGGACTTCTTCTGGAATGAAGCCTGGTATTTGAAAACCATTGATATCTGCCATGATCATTTTGGATGGTATTTGGGCTGGGGAGACTGTGTTTGGTTGCCTTACCTCTATACTTTGCAGGTAAAAATGTGGTACGATACGTGTTTGGGCTAAAAGGAAAGGAACTTTCCAGAAACATTTTCCCAGCAGTTTAATTTTGATCTTAAATTGTTTCTAGACAGTTTGAATACTGAGTAACCATTACAACATCCCTCTGCAACAATTCACTTGTCAGAAGGCTTACTGTCCCTGCCTGGAATCGACATGTTTTCCTTTCCTCCCTTTCTTTTGTGCCCTTTTCTGTTGCTGTCCGTCACGACTATATATTTTTCTAAATCCTTTTAGTCCCTTTTTGTACTCCTGCATGTTGAGGGTTTTTTGGTGGGTGGTGGTTTGTTGGGGTTTTTTTCCTTCTGTCCTGGTTTGTCTGCATCCTTGCAACTTCCCTCTTGTTCCACCTAAGAAATGCAATTTGGGGGGGGCGGAGGGGGTGTGTAAAGAGAGAGAATGAAAATGCTGGGTGCAGAGTTTTCTGAAAATTATCCACGTTTATACTGGTGGGGAAGATTTTCCTCTTCTTTCTACTCATCTGTTCTGGATCACTGTAGGTTGAGGAGTTAGTCTGGCATCCTGAGCATCTATATAAAGTAAATCACTGCCTTTTTTTTTTTTTTTTTTTTTTTTTTTTACTGCTCCCCAGGGTTTGTATTTGGTTTACCACCCTGTCCAGCTGTGCACAGCTAATGCCATAGGGATCTTGATGTTGGGCTTGATTGGCTATTACATCTTCAGAACGACCAACCACCAGAAGGACCTCTTCCGTCGTACAAATGGCAACTGCAGGATATGGGGGAAGAAGCCAGAGTATATTGAGTGCTCCTACATGTCTGTGGATGGGACCAAGTACTACAGCAAACTGATGACCTCAGGGTTCTGGGGGTGGGCACGCCATTTTAATTACACAGGAGATTTGATGGGCTCCCTGGCCTATTGCCTGACTTGTGGGTTTGAACACGTCTTGCCTTACTTCTACATTGTTTACATGACTATTCTGCTAACCCACCGTTGCATTAGGGATGAGCACCGTTGTTTCAGCAAATATGGGAAGGACTGGAAGCGCTACACTGCTGCAGTGCCTTACCGGCTCATACCAGGAGTATTTTAAGGCTAACAGAGAATCCAGGGAAAAGAAAAAAGAAAAAGGTGACGAGGGTTTATCCACGTAGTTTTAACTAACAGAAACACTTTGTGAAGCACACTCATACAGTTCTGAAGGAGAAAATGTGTCTGGACGGTAATCGTTGCTGTACTGAAGGAACATGCAGGCAGAGTGTATTTAAAGTAAATCAAATGAGGCACTGAAATGACCTGGGTTTTTTAGAGGACTCTCTTATCTGGAACTTCCGCGCCCCCCCCCCCCCCCCCCCCCCCCCCTCGCGTTGTGAT